TAATTTATTATTATTCAAGTCTTCCTTTAGCTGTTTATATTAGTATATAATATCTATTTTAATTTATTTATAATTTTTATTAAAATAGATAGAATAACAGCTATATTAACTGATTTATTTAATCAAAGAAATAACTAAATTATATAGTTTTAAAATAATTATTCTTATTTATAAATATATCTTACTTATATTATAATAAAATATTAGCTTGTTTATTCTTATTTCTATTTTTATAAATTAATTTAAAATTAAATTAATTTAATAATAGAAATTATTATATATAATATTTAATTAGCTTTTTTTAAAAACAATATTTTAGATTTTTATAATTAATTATTATTTAAAACTTTTATATTAATTATAATTCTATATCTTATTATTTAAGAATTTATATAATAATAAGAAGCTTTTTATTATAAATTAAATAGTTATATTTTACTGATATATTTTATTTTAAAATATATATATATAATTATAATATTATAAAAAAAATCTTTTTTATATTATAATTAAATAAATCTATTTCTATAATTATTATATACTTAGAATAAAATAAAATTAGAATTAGACTAGAGAAGAATAAATTTTTTAATTTATTAAAAATTATTTAATAATTTAATATTTAACTAAAGATTATATTTTTTATATTAACTAATTTAAAGACTGTATTATTTCTAAGAAAGCTTTAATAAATTATTTATAAAAATTAGTAAAGTCTAGAAATTCTTATATAATTTTTATAATTATTAAAAATCTTTATTTTTAAATAGCTTAAACTTTTGCTAAATTTATTTAAATCTTTTTTTTTATATAATAAATTTAAGATATTTAATTTTTTTCTTTTTAAAACTATATTTCTTAATATCTAGATATAGTTTTATTTTATTGAATTTAATAAAAGCTTTTTATATATACTTTTAATATTTCTCGAGAATATTATTTAAATAAATAAATATATTATTTATATAGATTAAACAGAACTTATTTAAATATTCTTTAGGAATTTAATTAATAAATTTCTAAAAAATATTTAAAATATTAATAAGATTAAAGAGAATTATTAGCTATTTATATAATTTATATTTTATTTAAAAAACTATTATTTATTCTTAATTTTTAATAATCTATATATAATAAAAGACGGAGAAAATATTAAGCTTAGTAAATTATTTAATATATCTAATTTAATTAAGTATTTTATAAATTAAAAATAAAAAATATTAATCTTTTTTAATAATTATATTTAATATTTAATAATTTATACAGAAGCAGAGTCTGTTTTCTAATCTTTTTATAAAAAAAATAAATATTATAATAAATAATTAATTAATCTTAATAAAATCTTTATTTAAAAATTTTATTAGTATTTTTTATAATATTAGTAATTTATTATAAAATATATTATATAAAAAATCTTATAATATTTAAGAATTTTATTTATTTTTTATATTAGTTTAAGTTTATAATCTATATTTTTATTATAATAAGATAATAATTTATCTATAAATAAAGATTTAAAAAATTAAAAGAAATTATAATAATATCTAAATAGTTTTGTTTAAAAATTAATTAATAATTTTAGAATAAGAGCTTTTTAAATATTATTTATTATAATAATAAATATTTTAAGTTTCTTAATTTTTATATATTAATATTATTATATATATATACTTATAGCAGCAACAAAGATCTAGATACTTTTTATTTTTTATTTTTTTTAAATTAAATTATATAATTCTAGTTTTTATTATATAAAAATATAATTATTTCTAGCTTAACTCTAGTTATATATTAAATCTTTTTATCTAAAAAAGTTTTTAAAATAAGATTATATTTAAGTCTATTTAATAAATTATAAAAAAAAACTATTTAGATATATTTTTTTAAAATATTTCTAATTTAACAATATTTTTTAATTAAATTAATATATAACTTTATATAAAATTTATTCTTTTTCTAATTTTTTATTATCTAATATTTTAATAAATTTTATTATAATTATTTTATTTAATTTATTTTATAATTTTATATAAAATATTTAATATTTTTATATTTAAAATAGAGTTTTTTTATCTTTTTTTTAAAATTCTTTTTCTAAGATTTATTATAAAATAATATTTTTTTAAAAGAAATATTTTTTTTTAGAATTTCTTAAATAAAAAGTTATAATTTTAATTAAAATAATTTTTTAATTTATTTTATTTAAATTATTTTTCTTAATTATAAATAAAAAATATCTTAAATAATAAGAATTTTATTTTAGTATATTTATATATTAAATATTATAGTTAATCTTAAAAAATTAATTATAATATCTCTTATATAAATCAGCTTTTTTTATTTTAATTATATTTTTAATAATTATTGAATAAATAGTAATATCAAGCTTGATTTGTTTTTAATTATTTAATTAATTAATATTACTAATTAGGCTTGTCATTACCCGCTTGTCAGCTCGGGGTTCACTCGGCCCGGCTTGCTAAGAGAATCTGCTTAAGAGAGTAAATTTAGATAAACAGATCTTTATTATAATTATTTAAATTAATATAAAAAAATAAAATAACTTAATTAGAATCTTAGTTATAATAGATTTAAAAAAATTATAAAAGAATTAAAAAAATAAATATTTTATAAATAAAATTTCTAATTTTTAATTAAAGTTTTATATAATATAACTATATAAAGATTAGAATTATTAAACAATTTATAAAATTTTTTATTTAAGACTCTGTCTAAAATTTTAATTATAAAATTAAAATAATATTTATATTATTTAAAATATGATTACTAGTGTTTTATGTAATTTCTTTTATAAATAATTATATTTATAAGAATTCTGTAAATTATATATTATATTAATATAATTATTTTATAAAAAATTATTTTTATAATATAGAAATTTTTTATAATATATTTATAAGAATTATTATTCTTATATAGCAGAAATTTATTTATATATAATATAAAAAAACTTTTTTATTTAAATCTAATTTTAAATAGATTTTAGAAATTTATTATAATTTATAATAAATTTATAACAGATCTTCACAGTAATATATATATATATATATTATAAATTAAGTATTAATTATTTAATATATAATATAATATTTAACTAAAACTTTATTATCTATAATTCTAAATAATCTTTTTATAATAATATAATAAATAATCTTTTTATTATCTTAAATATATAATTATATTTATATTTATATATTATAATAAAGTAATATTAATAAAATATAAAAAGAAATTTATTATTTTATCTATATTAAATTATTCATATAAAAACTTTAATAAGCTGTTAAGCTATAGTTTAATCTGATTTAATTTTAATCTAATTTAATTAAAATTAATTTTTTTTATTAAATTATATCTTAATATAAATCTATTAAATAAGTAAAAGTTATATTTTAATTATAGAACTTGCGGGCGGGCAGAGTCTCATTTTAATAAATTCTGAACTCAGCTGAGCTGGCTTGTTAATTCTTTTTAACCTGCTCAGGCTCGGTATTTTGACAAGCCTATTACTAATAATAAAAAAAGTTTTATTAAAGTTTTCAAGAAATTTCTCTAGACTATTTTTTTCTTATTTTATTATTATAATTTATATAGAAGTCTTTCTTTTTATATCTAGATTTTTAAATAATTAATTTATTAATTATAATAAATTATTTTATTATATAATTTTATTTATTTTTTATTTAAATATAATTCAGAAAAGTATATATTATTTAGTTTTTTAATAAAAATAATTATAAATATAATAAATTCTTTTTATTTTATTTATAAAATATTTTTTATTAAGCAGAAACTTGATATAAAGCTTTTTATATAAAAAAATATATTTTAATTTTTTTTTTTTAAAAAAATTCAGAATCTAAAAAGCAGGCTCAAAATTATATAATTAAATATTAAATAAAAAATAATATAATTAATATAAATAATAATATAGAATATTATTATAAGTTTTTTAATTAGATTTATAATTAAGTTTTTATTATCTGATATTCTTATTATTATTAATTAAAATATATTCATTAATTATTTAAATCTATTTATAAAATATATACTGCTTATATAAAGTTTTAAATAATATTTTAATTATTATATATTATTAACTTAAGAGAGTTTGCTATTTTTATATATTAAAGAATTCTTAATTCTTAAAAGATTATTTCTCAATAATAATTAATTTCTAATATTAAAAAAATAATTAAATTAAACTAATCTAATAATTAGCTATTAATATAAAAGAAATTATTAAAAAAATATATAAATTATACTTTTTTATTTTTTCTTATATAATACTATCTCTTATTTTATTTAATTATTTATTTAATTATAATATATCAAACAGAGTATTCGCGCAGGCTGTCAAGTCTTTGGAATTTGGAGGATTTGTACAAGAACCCCATAACACTATAGAATTTTAAGTTAAAAAGATATTAAATTATATTATATAATATTATATAATTAATTATATAACTTAATATTCTATTAATATCTTAAGTAGATAGCTGTCCCTAGCTAGTTAAATCTATTAATCTTCTGCTCTCTTGTATTCGTTGTACACATTTTAAATATTTTATATAAAAAATATATTAATTAAAGTAGCTAATAATAACTGAAAATAATTTCTTTTAAAAAATATTAGATTGAATATTTTAATATCTAAAATAAATATTATGTTTTATTTTTATTATATATAGCTTTAATATATAATATAGTTAATAAATGATTAGAAAAATACTATTAATAAAAACATAACTAATTTTAAAATTATATACTATTCTGCTATAAATTTTAGTATAAGATAATAATATAAAGAGATAGCAAATCCCTTTCATCAAAGAATCTCAGACTTCTTGTTCCTTTCTACTACACCCCTACCTGCAAGAATCACAATTATATAAGACTAATCCGGTAATGAATGACTATAGATATTTGATATCTACTTTTTCTGCGCTTTTTATGTAAAGACATTGCAGAGCTTCGCTCTGCAATGATGATCACCTAAACATGTAGGCGGTGTAAAATATTGGTGTAGGCGGGTGTGGCTGTATCGCCTTCTGCTCGGCATGTCTACGGGTCGCCCGGTCACCTAGTCAAGCACCGCTGATGAAGTATATTGGTAAGAAATGATATAGAAGCCATTCTAGTAGGACCTTTGATTTGAAAATTAAAAACTGCCAAGGGACCTAAAATGTGGTCTTCACACTTGCATACCATTATCACCTGTGTCAATTGCACTTAACTACCTGTGAAATTGTGTATTCTCATAAGAGATATCATCGGTATATTCCTGAAACCATGCAGGGCGAAGAAAGTTAGAAGCAATTGGGGTACAGTTTGCGTTCCGAATCTTGATATTGTAATCAAGACACATTGTACAACTCAATCAACTCTGCAAGTCGCGATGCCTCCTCAGAATAGTTGATTTCCTTTGCTGACGAAATCTGATAACGAATCCTATAGAGCACGTGATTAATATTCATACCAGAATATAGGCAAAGATTGCGAATACTGGCTGCTCACCTTTGTTGGTCACCAAAATGGTCTATTTTAGCTCGACATCTGAAATTCAAAGTTCGACAATTGGCCTCCTGAAACACATCACCGGCAGCTTTCTCGTCTGCTTGCCTTAATTCCATTAATTGATCTGCTGAGGTTCCCATAATCAACCTGCCCACATCGTCAAAACAACTCAGCCAAAGCTGGCCGGTATGATCGCTGACGTTAACAAGCATTATGTACCGATACTCCGGCCTGGAATGGGTTTTGTCGCATCGCTCACAACGCCACTGACCAGGGTCAAGTTCCGTCACCTTCTTGTTGCAGCCTTCAGAGAGACAAGCAGGATAACACATGTTATCTTGCTTGATGTAGATGACGGTTGCCTTTAGAGAGAAATACACTGCCTCCTCTGACATACCCAACTGTTCCTCCTTTACTTGGGCAATCGTTTTGAACCGATCAGGTCTCATCGTAGATGAGGTTGTGCCCAGTAAAGAAGCATGCGAGGTAAAACTGCCATCCCTACCCTGTGCATCGTACCAGCCTTTGAGCCTATGAGCTTCTTCAATATCAGGATCAACGGTCATTGAGCCGGAACTCAGGAGACTTAAACTCCGCCCGCCAAAGTCGGAAACTTTCACGCCTTTGAAAGCTATTACCGACTCAGACAGCGCATTAAAGTTCAGCGCTGTAGCACCCCAGACAGTCAACCGAACAGAAAATCCGCTGTTATCAACCAGGGTAAGTTCTCGTTTGTTGTAGGGCTTGTTGGTCGTTTTTGACACGATTTGCGAAACCTCCATAGCTTCCTTCAGCACCCCAATCACGTCGATCGTAGTATCCTTTTCAACCGACTGGAGGTCTCCGATGGCAGTGAAGTTGAACCGAACCTGAGGAACATCACTTTGATCCTCTGCCTAACTAACACCATAAGTCCAAGTGCCTGCTACCAGATATCGACTGTGACTGACCTTCTCAACTACAGTGTCCCTCTCGAATGTCAGTTCGTAATCGTTGTTCAGATTCGTAAATTGCTTTTTAGCAATCTGAACACGACAGTTCGAGATGTAGTATACGTTCCCCTCCTGAAAAATGTCATACAACATGTCACACTGATCATTGAACCCAGTAGCACGGATTTCACCACTGTCATCGAGCAAGTTGACACTGAAAAGCTTCCCTTCTGTGTTTCTGTTGTGCCATGTCTTGATAGTCGACTTGCTTGTACAGCGTGCCTTGATGGTCCACTTATGAGAATATGGTGAAATAGCTTCAATGGGATATATAGTAGCATGTGCAGAGCCCAACGCAGGTCGTGCTGATTGCACTCTCATGCCCGTTTGCACCTGGGTACCTTGAATTTTGGAACCATAAAAGCCACTGCTGGAGATGGTAGTTGGTTGATTTTTTTCGTCATCGTCCGTTTTGGTCTCTAGGGGTTTCGGTTCACCAATCTTCTCAGCTTCCCCCAACTCCTGCAAAACTTCTAAGTCAATAATAACGAGAATTCTGTTTTGCAGATTAGTTACGTCCTGAATTAAATGTGTTTGAAACTTACTTCTTGCCCTTGACCGAGTTCGCTTGGAAAGACTTCAGACGAACAAAACATCCTTTTCGCAACACACCACCAGTAACAATGGGGTTCAGTTCTGAAGATGTAAAATAAACATATTAGCAATGCTTGGAGTAAGATAATCATCATAATACGCTTCGAGGCCTACGGGTTGCGAGCATTGTCTGGACATAGTTTGATATATCACTGAATACAGCTCGGTAACGTTCTTGGTTATTTTGTTGGGGCGGTAGAGGCTTTATGTGAACACACTGAACGATAGGCTCGGGGGTTTGAGGCTTCGTGTCATCGAAAATGGCACTTGAAAGCAATCAGTTAATCCATACAAAACCCAAAGTATTGCAAACCAACCTGAGAGCCCCAAATGAAACCCGAGAGGCTGCTTCCGAAGCCATCTATCTGTCTGTAATAGAAGTAGAATATTATGGATGGTATGCTGTCGAGCAAAATTGCGCTGTAGCAAAAGCCGCTAGAGTCACCTGTAAATGAAAGCACGCGACAGAGGTGCTTTGAAGTCTTCGTTGTACTACAGGAGTTTCGCTATTTTGAGTGGCCGAAGTAGCGAAGTTGCTCCGCATTACGGAGTACTTCAAGACACGCGACTTTGGAAGCAATGCCATTTACGCGACACAAGTACCCTACGCGTCACGGCTAAATATTAATTAACCAAGTTCCAATTTATGCATTAGGTAAAGCGCGAATTCTTTGGGCAAACAGTACCTAGCAAAATAAGCAGGTTTTTTTTTTTTTTTTAAAAAAAATTTCTATTTAGAGATAGATATAAGCAGTAGAGAACTATTACTACAAAGAGTGTTATCAAAGAGAAACAGATAGACCTTATTTAAAAAAGGCAGGGGAGCACTGCTGTATTGCAATGTTTCGGGCGGGTGGTAGATGCGCAATTACGCGCTGGTATGTAGGTACTGTTGATGCTCCATTAAGTGATTTATATAACATATGCATACCACAGTATTTAATTGTTTCTGTTCACTGGACTCATTTTATCATCCCTATTCTTTTGGCAAATCACCTGAAAATTTATCTGTGACTCTTAGCACTACTATGAGACCAGCCTGGCTATATGGTTTGGTCCAAGTGCTATCCTCCAATACTACCGTAGTAGCTTAAGGTACTCCGTACCTACCTACCTAGTATCACTGGTACTACCAGCGATATGGCAGGGATCACCTGCCGTAGGAAGGTTTTTTCTCAATACAGGTGAAGACCAGATTATCCAGAATATTAGAAGCAGATATGTGGCTAGCCGGAGCTTGTTTTACCAAGTAGTAAGGTAGAGAGCCTTATTCGAATAATTTCATCTTTATCTTCACCAGCTGTTTGCATTATTTAAATTGTTCAGCCTTGGACTAGTTACTACCTGGATGGTTAGCTGTAACAGCCATACTGTCACTATAACATCCGCCCTTCAGGTGGTTATCATCAAGCTACCCTTACCTAGCTAGGTACTGCCAGGGGCGGTGAGAAGGAGGAGGGTTGGTCTTGCCGTAGCGAGTGATTGCCTCATACAGTTGTCAGTAGCCTAGATTAATTTTCTTTAATATATGTATTTTTTTTCTTCAAAATGTGTATTTTCATAAAAATACATGTTTTAGCCTATTAAGTGTGTTTTCTTCAAAATTTTTTTTTAATATTTTTTCTTTTATATATATCTGCAAGAAAGTATCTAGTAATTTTAGTAAGAATATTCTAGTGTTTAGTAATCATAATGTAATTAGTACTAGTCGAGGGTTCGAATCCCAGCAAGGGCATTAAAATATTTAAACATAATTAAAAACAATAAATTCAATAAAAATTAGTAGTCACATGATATAACATAAGCAAGATCATATTATTTACAGGCACACTTTGAGTTATATATAAAATTAATTTAGATTAATTATTATTAATTTTGAAAACATGTGTTTTACTTCTAATATGTTTTTTTTTCTTAGAAGTGTGTTTTTCTGAAATATGATTTGAATACATATTAGTTTTTATATATGAATAATCAACAATATATATATATTTAAAAATATGATATATTATACATAAATTTTCAATAGAGATATAAGTGCTGAAATGTGTTTTTAAAAAACATTTTATAAACATATAGTACAATAGATTTACATTAGATATACCATCTGTGGAACCCCCCTGAGAAGGGTAGGTACAGTACAACTTTACTCAATGTACCTGTATATACTTTAGTACAATAATTCCGGCATGTATTATACATGACTTTTATTACACGCACCCCACCTAGGTACTACTACTTAAGCAGTCAAGCTACGTCCTACAACAGCAGTCCTATTGATAGTAGAGCTCGGTAAGTAGGAAAGGGACGTCACTTACCCATCAACCTACCTACCTTGTAGCGCCCACCAAATTCATGTTCATCTTTTCAAATAACTTCATGTTCATATTTCCAGATTTAATCTGATTGCACTGCGATACAGCTTATTTCCCCGCCATGGCTTCCTGCTCCCATATTGGTTCTGAAGGTCAGTTGTGATTTAGTCTCGTACAAGGGCGGAGACAATGCTGGCTTTAGACTGACTCTTATCTGCGAAGCAGAACTGAAACCACCAACCCCATCCCAAGTTGTATATCGAGAAGACTGTACACAGTGTTTTGACAATATAGTATGTGTCCACCGAGGTCCAGTTATTGGACATGCTAACCAGATGACCAGGATGAAGATCATGGCCTCAATGTCTGTCTTTCATGCTTTAATGGTGGATGTGCCGGAGATAGAAATCATGCCTATCTCCATTTCAAACAGTTCGGCCACCCTCTAGCACTTAATATCAGGAGGTCGCGTAAGAAGGTTCAGGTGTGTTGCAACGATGCTTGACAGAATTGGAAAAAACCATTACAACCATTAACAAGTATGTTTGTTGACAGCGGGATGAGCCGCCTCACAAGATCTCAAAGCTTGCAATTGCTGCTGAGGCAGACCAAGACCGGTATATTATCAGCAAGCGTGTTGTCTGTTATTCTTGTTCCCATGATGGTATCGATCCATCCCGCGGGAACCTAGCGGCGGTCATTGATGGGGTGATGACAGCAATGACCTTTTCGAAGAGAGAAGAGGTTAAGGCGTGGGAGCAGGAATTCATTCCTTGCAAACATACTATCTCTTTAATTCAATGGGATTCAAGAAATATTGAATCTAAAGGTAATCATCAGTCGCTTCCGCAACATTCACACAGTTCTGACATTCTAGGGGCAGATTTCATCCAGTGTTCCATGTGCAACTTGAAAGAAAATCTTTGGCTATGCCTAGAATGTGGCAATATTGGCTGTGGCCGTAGTCAGTTCGGTGGCGTGGGGGGGAATTCACATGCTCTCGCCCATTCGGACAACCAGTCACATAGCGTTGCAGTAAAACTTGGCTCAATAACTGCAGAAGGCTCTGCAGATATCTATTGCTATACATGCAACGAAGAAAGAACAGATCCGAATCTCGCTACCCACCTTGCCCATTGGGGGATCAATCTAGCGGGCCGAGAGAAGACAGAGAAGAGTCTAATGGAAATGCAAATTGAGCACAATATGAAATGGGACTTCTCTATGACAACCGAAGATGGCCATGAGCTCATTTCCGTGTTTGGCCCTGGCTTGACTGGCCTTGCTAACTTAGGAAATAGTTGCTATCTCTCTAGTGTCATCCAGTGCCTCTATGATTTACCCGAATTCCAAGAAAGATATTTTCATCCCGACATGAAGCCACCTTTTGCAGGGAAGCCGGCCGAGGACCTTGAGACACAGCTACGAAAGCTGGCCGATGGCCTACTGTCCGGTAGATATTCGCGACCTGGTACTGATAACAAGCCTTCACCTGATGTATCTGAAGTTTCGCATCAGAAAGGCTTAGCACCAGCTATGTTCAAACATCTCATTGGCCGTGGTCATGAAGAATTTTCGACGATGCGACAACAGGATGCGTTTGAATTCATGCTTCACCTCTTCAAGGCGATAAGCCTATCGAAACATCCCGAGGGCATGGCTAATCCTGTTGAATCCTTCGGGTTTTCTATGGAGCAACGTCTTCAATGCCTACACTGCGGAGGGGTTCGTTACAGGACGGATGAGCAGGATAACATCTCTCTCCCCGTTCCAGCTCGTCGTCTATCTCAAGGAAGTTCAAATTCAGCATCGGAATTCGAAACCGTGACACTTTTGGACTGCCTTGATGTTTTCACTTCTGAAGAGGTAGTTGAGCTCAGCTGTCCCTCATGCGGCAGCAGTAACGGTTTTTCCAAACGCTGCCTGTTCAAGACCTTGCCACGGGAGCTGGTCATCAATGCTCGGCGGTTCGAGTTGGTAAATTGGGTACCCACAAAGCTGGAAATCCCTGTCGAGGTTGATGAAGACCCGATTGATCTCAGTTCTTATATCTCTTCTGGGCCGAAAGAAGACGAGGTCATTCTTCCCGATATTGAATCCACGGAGGGCACATTTAATCCCGATAAATCTGCTATGGAACAGCTACTCGGGATGGGTTTCCCCGAAACAAGGAGCGCGAGGGCGCTTTATATGACAGGAAATTCGAGTTCTGAAGACGCCTTGAATTGGCTTTTCGCTCATATGGAAGACCCGGATATTGATGAGCCCTTTGATAAGGTTCTTCTCAATGACCGCCCGAGAGGAGATACACAGGACCCGGCGAAAGTGGCTCAACTTGGTGAAATGGGCATCGGCTTGGAAAATGCCAGGATAGCGCTAGCAGCCACTGACGGTGATGTCAATAGAGCAATTGACTGGGTTTTCACGCATCCGCGAGATTCAGTGGACACTGCTGGCCTTGAGTCTGATGGGACTCGCACCCTAGGGTTCGATACTATCCCTGCAAGATATCAACTTCGGTCAATAGTTTGCCACAAGGGGTCTTCTGTGCATGCTGGGTCAGTAGCATCTTTCTTCATTCTTTCCGAAACAGACTAACATAATATAGCCATTATGTTGCAGTTGTTCGAAAAGATCTGCCTGAAACCGGTGTCTCTTGGGTTATGTTCAATGATGAGAAGGTTGTTCAGGTGGATGACATACAGGATATGAAGAAGTTTGCGTACCTGTACTTTTTCACACGGGTCTGAGAGTATGTATTAATTGACATGCTTTCCATTGGAGAAGTCTACCAGTGAAGTAAAGGAACTGTACATGGATTAACGCATGTAGGGTCTGATATATTTATTCACTGTTGTGTTTGATCGACAGCCCACCTTAAGAAATTCATACTTGCCTAAGTGCACGGAAGCAGTAGGTAATACTTCATCAATCTGCGCATCAGACTTAGCTGAATGAATAATAAATTAGATTCACAGTACAAGTACAGTATCTTCTGTATTTATTGCCTACAACTTATTTGATTTCAGTTTACTGTGTGCAATGCTGTCTGATTCCAAATGAATACTGTGGGCCAGTGGCGCAATGAACTTTGCGTGCGCCAGTAGCCTAATACACTATCAATTATGCATACAGAGTAGTACCCGGTTCCCACAAGGCTACTAGGTAAATACCGCGTGACTTGTATGACACCTTAAAAACCTGGCTGCACTAGTAGAAGTATGATTCGCTCATCTTTTAACCCCTTTACACCTAAACATGCCTGGTATGTACTAATCAAGGGCAGTACTATACAGTAATTCTGCCTATATACTGTTCATAGTTAAAACAGCTAAGGGTGTACCTAGCAAGAGCCCGGCCGGTGTGGCTGTAGCGGCTCCCATAATTAGCACTAAGCCTAACACGCGTTAGTTGTAAAGATTAACAGGAGAGACCTCGAGCGCAAATAGCACTTGTCGAGAACAAAAGATGGCCCGCTACTACACCTTGAACTTGTTCATGGCTCCAAGTGAACCACTTGAGCTACTTAAGAAGACAAGAAACCCTGGAACACCACTTTAATTTATAGCTGGATTCTTCCGTTGCAAATATTCCCTCGAAGACAACCATATTCAAGAAAACCATCGCGATATGCCACAGGTAGATGGAAATGCCGCCGCAATGCTGGCCTCTTCTGCATCTGGGACTACGCTTATGATTCTGGTCCAACTGGTTTCAAGGTTATTTACTTTCACTGCGAATAATTTGATTCTCAGGAGTCTGCCGCCGAACATCTTAGGTCTTGCAACGCAATTGGAGTTATACTTTATGTCGATTCTATACTTTTCGAGGGAAAGCATCAGAATGTCAATTCAAAGACAGTCGATGCACTTTACGCCTGCAGCTATGTCTGTCCACGAGGATAATAATGATTCGGCTCGCAAAATAACCGGCCAAACACCAGAAGCCAAATCCGCAGTGTCACAGTCGGTGGTGAACATGTCTTACTTGAGCCTTGGCTTGGGATTTCTCTTTGCAATGGTGTTTTTAACTTTTTATATGCATTTTGTGCCAACAGAAGTCTCCCAGATGTCATTCTACCATGCAAGTGTGATAATTACAACCATCGCATCCCTCATGGAACTTTCTATTGAGCCCTTCTTCAGTGTAGTGCAGCAGTACATGCTACACAAGAAGCGTGCTGTTGTTGAAATGAGTGCAGCTTTTGTAAAAAGCTTTATAACTTGCGTTGCTTTTACCTGGGCTTCTCGAACCAGCTATAGTGTTGGAGTCCTTCCATTTGCTCTTGGCTACCTGTGTTATTCTTTGACACTCATATTTGGCTACATAATAGCACTTCAACAGTTCACAGAGAAGTGGAATTTCTCAATGTTCCTTACCAGAATACATGCAAGGTATGCAATGGCTGGCGAGTTAAAAAAAAAAGTCACATCTAACAATGCCTAGTGATAGGTCCAACTACTTGGCTGACAGGTTCTCATGGCCGATGATAACGCTTTCTGCAAATGTCTTTTTCCAGTCGGTGATTAAACATATACTCACGCAGGGTGATTCTATGATGCTGGCAACTATGACGACCTTGGAAGATCAAGGCATATATGCATTGGCTTCAAATTATGGTGGCCTCTTGGCCCGTGTTTTATTTCAGCCAATCGAGGAAAGCAGCCGGGCGCTTTTTTCGTCACTGCTTAACTTTGACGAGACTGGTCAACTAAGTATAAAGAATACCAATGCTGCTAAAAATCACCTAATTCAAATCATGCATATATACAGCATGATGGCTGTTGTGGGATTTCCCCTGGGTCCGTCTTTGGTAACTCTGGGCCTTCATGTGTTGGGTGGAGGCAACTGGGTTTCGCCCAGAGTCAGCAGCCTGCTATCTTTATACTGCTATTACATACCATTTTTGGCATTCAATGGCATTGGTGAATCATTCGTTTCATCGGCCGCCAATCCAGCAGAACTTCGCAAACAAGCAGTGTGGATGGGGGTTTTCTCAGCATGCTATACTTCGGCGGCCTATTTATTACTAGAAGTTGGTGGCTTAGGCGCCCATGGCATGGTATATGCCAATATCCTCAATATGGCAGTTCGTACCGTCTGGAGTTTCTTATTCATACGGTCATTTCTGCGTCGCCACAATGGTGATATAAGCTTTGCTGACCTTAGCCCACGTCCTCATACATGCGTTGCTGCAGTCTTGATGTCTACGATAATAGCTTTAAGGAGGGCGTATAACCCAAACTATAACCATGTCAGGGAAGGATTCGTGCATTGCGCAATTTACCTCGTTCTAGTGTGAGTAAAATGCCCTAAGAAGGAACAAGCTCTGATGGTACCTAGGTCATATCTTGAACGGAGATACCTGATGATGCACTATAAAAAAGCATGTGAAGTAGTGAGATCAAAAACTTCAAAGCCCAAAGGCGAATGATCTCCAAATCAATCATCAAACAGAATCTTGGTTGCCGTTTTGTCCGAGTCGACATCCTTGAAAAACGCACCATACGCACCATGTTGCTTCTTCTTTACCGTTCCTCCGAATTTGAGAAGAGCTTCTGGGACTTCTTGTTTGGCCGCTTTAAGAACATTTATTAAACTAGATCAAATGGGTATCTGTTAGCACTCAGTGTGTGTTGGAGGGGGGGGGGGATCCTTGGTGCAATTGGGGGAAGAACAGATCGTAAGGACTTTGAGAGGGCTTCATGAGCGATGTATATTGTTATTAGGGTTACTCACGCGCCAGACTGGGCCTTGTCAACCTCGGTAAATAGGGTTATTGCATGGCCATCGGCACCAGCACGACCAGTCCTTACAAGAACAATAGTATTAGCCGGATTCTTGCATATCAGGATGCATATCACTTACCGTCCAATTCGATGTACATAGTCCTCAACAGTAAGGGGAAATGTGACATTTATCACAAGCTTGACTGAAGGGATATCTAGCCCACGGGCTGCAACATCTGTTGCAACAAGCACTGTTGCATCGCCTTTCTTGAAAGCCTCGAGGCTTCTGAATCGCTCCTGTTGGCCTAGATCGCCATGAATACCGGCTACTTTGAACCCTTTATTCCAGAGAAGCCTCTCCACGCGAACGGCCTCCTTCTTGTACAAGCAGAAGACCAAAATTTTATCAGATTTTGATTCTCCTTTTTGATGCTGGTTCAATAGCTGCACAAGTCTTTGTTCCTTTTCATGCGGTTTCACCACCTCCACAATCTGCTTGATTCTTGTGTTCGCGCGAGGATCAGCTGATGGCTCCCCCCCAATTGTGACTGTAACAGGTGTAGTCATGAATGTTGAAGCGAGGTCTCTCACAACCGGAGGCCAAGTTGCTGTAAACATAACAGTTTGGCGTTTGGATACTGGCATAGGGCGGATGATGTCCTTGATGTCTTGTTCAAATCCCTTGTCGAGCATACGATCTGCCTCATCCAAGACAAGGTACTTGACTTTCCCGAGATCGACCGAGCCATCATTCTGGAGATCTTTCAGCCTTCCTGGCGTCGCCACAACTATAGCTGCTGTTTGTAAAGCCCTGCGTTGCTCGTCCTTCTTCACACCACCAAAGATGCATGCCACTTTGATCCCCACTGGTTCAGCAAACTTTGAAATCTGGTCATGAATCTGCATTGCAAGCTCTCTTGTCGGGGAGATCATAACAGCCATTGGCTGGGAAGACCTCTCCTTTCTTTTCTTTGTGGAGTCTTGTATTTTCTTCAAGCATGGTAAGCCGAAAGCAAGCGTTTTCCCACTCCCGGTCTCGGCAATGCCAATCAAATCACGGCCTGTGAACAAAAGTGGCCAAGTTGCTGATTGGATGGCAGTGGGAGATGTGAACGAGTCCAAGGGTTGGTACAGCCCACTGTCGCAGGAAGGAAGGTGAGAGAATTCAAGAATAGGATCAGGGTTTGTATCTCCCTGCAATGTGTCTTTTATCTGGACCGAGTTCTCGGTAAAGAACCTTTCTATATCTGCCTGGGATACATCATCCAACATAGCAGGCTCAGTATTTCTTGTTTCCTGCGCCTTCAAATCAGACCCGTGAGTTTTTGTCTTTGTATGCTTGTCGCTCTTTGATTTCTTCTTTGCTCTGAGCTCTGAGCTGTCTCTGTCTTGAAATTCTCTCTTGGCCATGGTTGTTGTTCTGTTTGTTCTCGAATGCTGTCAGGTATGAGGAATCTGCCACTGTGCCATGCACCTAATAGCATAAGGCAAATCAATGAGCAGACACCCAATTTTCATCCCGTGAAATTTTTCCTGTGGGGTGACTTTTCTTCGCGGCTTTCGGTTTATCATACCCCATGTGGTAACAAAATCTTGAAATACAATGGGGTGTTTTCTTTAGCGTGAAAATGCATCCCAAAAGTCTAATTAATAATCATGAACTCAACTATCAAGCTGATTATACATATGTGTGTATAATATTTATCCATCAACTTAACCTTACCTGTGTATAGCTATTCCGGCCTGCCTGTGTAGAGTGAACCCATTTAGGCGTGCAAAACCACCTTGCATACCATTCCATGTCTACACAAGTTGAATTAATCTGCATACAGCCAGTCCTGCATTGTCTAATTACTTTTTATGCGGAAGTAACTACTCTGTATTATTAATTTACCGGATGATGTAAATGACCACCACTAACTTATTCATACTATTCCTAATAAAATTAGGGCGCTGCTCCGCTGACCCCCCTGTGGTTCGGCCAACCCCAATTACCTCAAAGGGTAAGGTGTATTCACAGAGCTTCTTTTTTTCACTCTAGCTAAGCCTATTAAAGCTAGTCTATATATAGCCTACTAGTATATCCTCTATATATATAATTGATTTTATCTATTTACTTACCGATCTACTCCGCACGTGCCTATGCATATGAACCTGTAATTAAGAAAAGATACCAGCTATATAGGGCCGCAGAGGGCAGTTACTAGTAGGAACTAGCCCAGGGCACAATTAGTATAATACTTGATTACTAACTACTTATCATACAGTTTGGCTTGCTATATTAAATCCAGTTAGTCTGATGATAAGACTGAGCCCTTTTTGACAATGGAAGGGTCAGGTAATCAGGAAGGAGGTGTAAGAATAATAATCCTTATAACCCTCGAAATATATTATATCGCGAGGAGTACCTATACTGCGGAGGCAGTTCCTTGTGAAGATATTATACTAGCAGATACTCAGATATATAACTTATAAAATAATTTTAAATATATTTTTTTATAAAAAAGACTTAGATAGAAAACTAGTAATAATATTTTGAATAATATAAATTATATTTTAATTTTATATTAGATATATTTTTTATATTATTTATAATTATACTATTTTTTATAATCAAAATTATTTAAAATCTATAGGATAGTTTATTAAATATTATAGTTATAAAATAGTTATCAAAAGATCAACATAATTACAAATTATTTGATTATTTTCTAAAATTTTTATAAATAGCTAAATATTTTTAAATAAGTTATAAAACTAGAACAGAGACTTAAAATTATTATAAATATTAAAAAAAAGTATATAAATTTTTAAATATCTCTAATATTTTTTATAGAATTTAAAAAAACTAACATAAATATATATATTTTATAGAATAGTAAATATTATAATACTTATAATTATATTATTTTAAAATTATTTATTATTTAGCAGAAACTTATTATAGAAAGTAATAATTAAAAATTTATAATTAATATAAGTTATAATAATTTATCTAGATTATATACTTGGTAATTTATAAAAAAAAATAATAAAATCTTTTTAAAAGAATAATTAAATAAATCTTTATCAACTTTTAAAGTATAGCTAGATAATATAAATAATTAGAAATAAAAAATATAATTATAAATTTTTAGATTATCTTTTTATAAGAAAAGAAAAGAACTTCATATGTTTATAATATTAAAAAAACAAACAAAAATATAGTTAAATCATAAAATATAGAAACTAAGTAATAAGTATCATATAATTATATTTATCTTTTAGATTGCCTTTATGTAATATAAAATAAAAAGACTATAAATAATTTTTTTATTATTAAGCAGAATCCAATTATACTACCTATAAAATTAAAATTAAATATGAATCAATAAAATAAAAAACTAATTATTTATAAGAAAGAAAACTATTACTATCTGTGGATTAAATAAGATAATTTAATAATAAAGTTTATTATATAATATTTCTAGAAAGAAATAGTTTATAATTAGATATATTAGAAATATTTATTTTATAAGATTTTATATCAGCACCCATGGGGATAATAAAATATTATAAATATAAAAAATAAAGTTATATATTAAGAAACTATTATTATTCAAAAAATAAAAATTCTATAAAATAATTTATTAATTAATAAATTATATATAAGGGATGATATCCGCGGGATATGCATACTTACAAGGTAACAAGGGTGAAGCCCACCTCCTCCCGGGTGTACTTGAGTATATAGTTCTTTACAGAAGTTTGTATAATCCTGGTTACTGGGCCTATCCAGGTGTTTGATTTATTATACTAAAATATATATATCTTTATATAAATTTAAAATATAATTTTCAAATTAATATATATAATAATTTAATAATCTATTTTGTTAAAAATATTTAATTTAATAATTAAAAAACTTTAATATTTTATATATTATCTATTTATCTTAATTACTGTCTTTATTTCTTTAATATTTTATTTAATATTTTTTTTATATATAAGTATTAATTTAATTTTATAATAAAAATAAAGTCTTTTAAAAAACATTTTCTTATATTATTTTATTAAAATTATTTTTAATTTAAAAATTAATATTATATATCTCTTTCTTTGAAAATATTTTATATATTTAGTTAGATTAAAATTAAGTATATAAAATAGTTAATTTATAATTTTTAAAATATAATTTTAAAATTATTTTTTAATTTTATATACATGATATATTAAGATATTATTTTATATAAATATAAATCTATTTTTTAATCTATATATTAATTTAAAATAAATCTTAATTAAATATATTATTATGAAAGTTTATCATATATTTAAGTTTCTTAATTTTAAAATTATAATTAAAAAAATTAAATCTTATTAATTTTGAATCTTATATTATTATAAAAATTATAATCTAAGAATTATTATTCTTTTATAAAATTGAATATAAATCTCTTTTTATTTTCTTTTATATATATCAAGTCTAAAATAATGTTCAACTAAGTATTTATTTAATTAAATATTTTTATTATGGGATATATCCCACAGCTATCTGACTTAGCTAGTCGGTCTTATTAGACTGATATCTATAATCTGCTGAATTATATATACACATAAAATTATCAGATCTCTGAGAATTCTTTTCTAAATATTAGTTATTTCTTCTTATAAATAGAGATCTAATTTTTTAAGTATATAAACTTTATTTCTAATATTAGAAATAATTTAGAAAAGATGTTAGGGAACAGAATCTATAAGCTATAGAGAATCAAGCCTGTATATATAAGAAGAAATAACTAGTATTTAAAAGAGAATTCTTAAGAATTTAATAATTTTATATATATATATAACTTAGTAAATATTAGTTTAATAAAATAGATTAATTAAATTAAATAGCTCTAAAATATATTTTATAATATTATTTTTTAAAAAATCTAATTAATAATCTCTGTTTATTTATATTAATCTTATAATTTAATTTATTATAATTTTATTATTAGTTTTATCTTAATTTTATTTTTAATTTATTTTAATCTTATTCTTAGCTTATACTAATCTTATCTATATCTTAATTTTAAGTATTAAAATAAAGCTTAAGAATATAAATACTTAATTTTTCTTTTTTATTTCTTTTATGTAGCTAGTTTAAAAGATAATAAAAATAATTATTATCTTTTAGATTAATAAGAATATATTAATTATAAGTTTATTAGTTTTTAGTAGTATCTTATTCTCTTAAACTTTTTATATATAATAAATAAAAGAAATAAGAAGAGTTTTCTCTACTGCTAGTTAAGATTTATTATTAAGTAATTCTCTTAAACTCTCTGTATATAATAATTCAGAAAAAGAATAATAATTTCTCTATTATTAATTAGTTTTTAATTAGATTATTCTTAATATTCCTGACTGGCAGAGTTAGTAATTATTAATAAAAAAATAGAAGATATTTATTATTAATAAATTAATATTTATTTACTAGATATAAGAATTTAATAAAGAGAATATAAATATTCAATTTTTTTTATTAATCTCTACTTCTTCTCCTGCAGTTATTTATACTGATAATAATAAAGAAATCTCATAATAATCTTTTTTTTATAATTATCTGACTTCGGTAATAATCAGCTATAATAATTATTATATTTATTATATAAAATAAATTTTATTTTATATAATAAATATAATATATTACAGAATTTTATTTATAAGTATCTAAATTATCTCTTTTCTTAGAAAATATATAATATGAAAAAAAGATATATATATTATTATTAATATTAGAGTTTTCTAAATTCTAATCTTTTATTTTTTAGTAATTAAGCTTTAAAAATTCACTTTATTAATTAATATAATATTAAATAGTTAACTGACTTAAATTAAAAATTCATAAAATTAATTGCAGCGCTGAGAGTTCTATTATTCTTAATTAAATTCTAGATATTCATTAATCTATCTGTTAGATCAGTACTCTCTTTCTAAAGATTAACCAAATATTATTTATATTATTTTCTTTTATTTTATTTTATTTTTTTTATTATCTAATAAGATTTATAAAAGACTTTTATAGAATTTATTATAAAATATATATAATTGTTTTCTTTCTTTCTTTCTTTCTTTCTTTTTTTATATTAAAAAAAAGATAACAGTAATATTAGTCACAGACTGGAATAAAATAAATAGAATTATAAAATAATTCTATTTAAGAATTCTTTTAATTATATATAATAAAGATATTCTTTAGAACTTTAATTAGTTCTTAAGTAATCTAAATATATTTAATCTATTTAATATAATAATATAATCTTTATTTTTATTTTTATATTACTATATCTTATTCTAAATAGTTTTAATTAGATATTTATTCTTTTTTTTATTCTAAATAGCAGGAAACTATTAGTTATTTATTTATTGTAATAATTATTTATTTATTACTGTCAATTACAACAGATTTATATAAAATATATTATAAATTTTAGTAAGAATATTTAATCAGATAAAATAGATTTTTAATATTTTTATAATAATATATTTTATATTGTTTTAGTCTAGTTTCTTATTAGATTAATTAATTATAATACTTTTTAG